GAGAGAGAGAGAGGGAGTCAATGGCGGGTTAGGCATGAACCAGTCGTTCAATCCAATGAATCGATTTTAAACACATCGGCCGACTAATGCCAAATATATGTCCTCGGTTTCGATTTCAATATCGAATAGAAACCTAAATTACTCATCAAATATACCCTCAAGTTTTCTTAATATCGGATAAAAGCCTGACCACACCAGGTTCCATTTACTTGAACATGCCTCGATAATATTATCTTTTGAAGCATATGGCTTTCGGATCATCATCCAAATTAATATTTAATGGCTGGGAGGATTACTGCATGGAAATTTGTGGGAAGCTTCCCTATAAGACATCTTCCTTTTGATGTTTTATTTTAGAATTTAAACAAATTTATTGAAATATCTATAAGAGTTGAATTATTACCTATTCGTAGCTATTCCAAATTCACGAACATGTGTTTGAAATTAAAATGGTATAAAGTTAAATAGTTCATTTATCGTGGGTATTAGATGATATTTCCTAGATTTTATTTTAGAAGCAAAAAAAATTTTAACTACGAAAACCAAAGAACATTTTTCTTTAATGAATGGAATTATGACATGTGTTCTTGGCTCCACCAATAGGAATGAAAACTCTGGATATCACATTGTGGCACCTATCCCGCAGATTGGGAATGTCTTATTTGTTGCATTCTCGATTTGTTATCACTCATGCAGCTAACTTTCTCGACTTATTCTTTTATGCAATTAAATAATTTGCACTTTCTTAAATTTGAATGGGTAAAAAATGATTTGTAGCCCTCTCTGCCTTACCACTTGGCCATGCTATCAAAACAATCCAGGAATGAGCATAAATGCTTTTTTTTTTGAAGGATTGATAAATCATATAATTATATAAAAAAATTAAGTCAAAATTTGGTTGTATGAGTCCCAGTAAATCAAGAGAGTGACAAATAAGACATTCCTAGTCCAGGTGGCACAAAGTGATAATTCGAGTTCCATTCCTAGCATATATGAAGTTTACGTCAAAAGAAATGTACAAATGAGACAATCCTAATTAGGATAGTGATAGGTGGCACAACATGATGTTTAGAGTTTCATTCTTAATCAAGATGGTTACAAGTGGCGCATAATGGCATTATGAGTTTCATAGAAAAAAAATCTCTTGCTTTCCTAGCAGTAAATAAACTAAGGCTTGCAACAGGAAGCTCAATATATTAATTGGAAAATTAAGCATGTTTTGTCCACAATGTTACTTTGTAGATATGTGTGTATAATGGTAGGATGTATGTTGGGGATGCACTAGTTACACACACTTCTTATAGGAAGTCACCCTTCCAAAATTCATTGGACATAAGCTGTATGTTATAAAATTTTATAGGTCTATCACCTTGATCACTATCATCATGAATTTTTAAAAACAAACTTTAGAGCTAAAACATTACAAATATATTTTTAAATCATTCATTTTAATTTATATGTCTATCATCTTGGACTACCATCATCATGAATTAAAAAAGTCTAAATTTAAAATATAGTTTTTTATTGGGTGCAGATTCTATAAGGATGCAACCTTAAACAATCTAATTAAGGCGCACCTTAAAATTTTATCATAACATGTAATTTTGTTACAAAAATTTCTTAGTATTATCTTAAAATCTATTTTCAGACCTAATTAGAAAATTTTAAATTAAAAAAATGGTTAAAATCAAGTCGATCTATAAATATATGAAAATCATGAAAATGGACAGTCTAGATAATGTATTGCAAGATGTATTATTTTCGGGATTCAAAAACTGTTTTTTTTTTCATATTCATACATCTCAATGTCGAGATGAGCGATTAGATGGTTTATTCAACATTAAAACAATATTTCCAATAGCTTTTTGAGGTGCATCTGTGACTCTACAGTTCCAACCTTACATAATTTTTTTCCTTTTTTATTTTACATATTTCTAAATTATTCATTTAAAATCTTCAAAAAGCATCACATATGCATTGCTTTGAAGCTCCAAATGGTGGAATATTGGTCTATTCACATATCTAAAGGTGGAATATTAATCTTACAATATTCTGCCTTGTATAGGATGTGCTTGGAGGTTAATTTTGTTATATTTGTAAAGTCCAAGGGTATAAATTAGCTAGCGGTCCAATTTACGGCGACCGTTTATTTCACATCTCTTGCATGTGTGACTGTACGATCGAGAGTCGCCACATGTATCGTGTGATACTTTCGAGAAGTAGAGCCTAGTTTCGCTATTTTCATAAATTCCAATGGCATTTAATTGTTACGGGTATTTTTTATTTGTAGAAAATATATAGGGCACTTTCCATGCTTTCGCACATCGCTGTAAGCATGAGTATTGTAGTGATGTGGAGGCTTGTTCATGTTTATCTTGTGCTACCTAGATTTCGCGGGTTTAAAAAGGATTAGTTGGGTGTGAAATCTATTTTTGGAGATGGATCGAAGCCCCATATCATCATGAATATGAAGAAGAATAAATTTTGAGCATTTAATGTGAGATTTTTATATTTGTTTTCCAAGCAAAATACCTCTTAAATATGGATTTTGATTTTAAAATGGACAGTTTTTATCGGTCATTTCTAAGTCACTTCTTAAAAATCTATTTTTGAGATGGATTTTTTGACTTTATTTTTAAAGACATATAATCTCTAACATGAAGATCATCAATATAAATAAATAAATAAAATTTTAAAATTAAAAATAGTAATTAGATTAAGAAAACATTTGGACCGTTAGTCTCAATTGTTTTTATATGAACCACGTATTTACATCTTTAAAATGGATGCTTTATACCTTAGGGACCGTAGCTAGAAATGCAGTCCCAGCCGCATGAAACAATTTTCTTTCTAAAATTATGGGCATCGATTATGTAGACCATATGATAAATTTGAAAAAATAAATATATTTTTAAATTAAAAATTAATTGTTTTGTATAATTTATTTTATTTTACATATTTTTGGATCTACATTATTTTTAGAGTTGTGAGAAGAAG